GAGTTTCCTATTTCTTCAAACAGGTCATTAATGAAAGTTAAAACACACAGTTTCTACCTGCTTTCCAAAGCTATATGACCATGAGTAGATATGTGAGGAGGCAAGTTTAATGAGAGTACAATTGTTTGGCAGACGATATTTTTAGGTAAGAAAAACTGACTGTGTGAGAACAAATGGTTCAATAAGTCTTTGTTTAATTGCACAGTGCCCTATAACCCAACATTTCAGTTTATTAAATCAAGAGTCAGCCTCATGGAATTTTTAATTGTTTAAAATCTACCGGAGCCTGCCCCACATCTGAGTTTACTCTGTAGATACAGAGTGTCTTATATGTTGATGTAAATTAAAATTTGACAAACCGGCAAGTAAGAATATATCCTAATTTTAGTGCAGTTTGAATGAGCAGCTCTTGTAGGCTGGGTAAGAACAGTTTATATAGATTTTCAGCAATAATTGGTAGAGTCTCAATTTAATTAGGTGGCACTTTGATGCTAAGATATGTTAAGCTAAAGAAAAAGATGAGCCAAAAGATCAAAATCTAATTGTTTCATCTGATGAAAGTAATAAATCTAAATAACGTTTGCAGATGAAAGGAAATCATTCTTGTGTTTTGTCTTGGAAAAATACATCCTTATTATGAATCCAAGATAGATTCTTGAGTGAAGTTGTGCTCCAAAACACTTTGCTGTGCTTAAAAATGTGTTCACCTTTCTGGGTATTTACCCAGGCAGTTCATGCCACCTTGTAGGTCACAGAAAGTGACCTGAGCTCTTCACCAATGGGGACAAAAGTTTCTGTCAAGTCCTCAGCAGAATGCCACTTCAGGCAGAGACCCACAGCAGCTTGTTTATATAATCATCTCCTTTAGAAAGAATCATGACAAAGGTAAAGATTTACAGTCATAGTTACAATTTAGGCTGAATTTTAGTGGATTAATTTGCTTCATTGAAGAACATCTTTTATGGAGATATGAAGACTTTTGTAAGCAAAGACAGAAGAGGTCTCCTGGGGATTTCAGCCCAATGTTTTGTTTTGCCCAATTGGGGCTTTTCCTTGAGGTTGTAAATTCCAGCTTTTGAATGTCAGATCCCTCCTCGGTTGAGCTTTAGGCATTTCTGGAATTACTCAGCAAAGGGACTTTGACAATTCCCTGCTCTGTCCTTAGGTCATAGAGCTGATTTACGGCTGGAGGAGGTTCTCTAAACACTAGATGGAATTGGTGAAATGGTATCCATTTATTAAAGTGGGTTCTGTAGTTCCTCCTGCTGACCAGTGGGAGTTGTCTTAAAAAAAAATTAGCCTGGGATGTATTGGCTTATTGCTATGTTGTGAGTTTTATCACAGGAAAATGAAAGCCACCCATATAGAAATTGTTTAAGGGTAGGTTTTGAAGAGTATACTGATTGTGGTATTTTCAATCTGCTATTTCAGATTGCTGGCATAAAAGCAGTTTTAGAATGGCTGCTCTTACTAATGTAAACTCATAAATAAACAATATTTCTTCATCTAACATTTATTTATTTTTGTTAATCCTCATTGATATTTTTTCATTGATTTCTAGAGAGAGTGGAAGATGTGAGAAAGACATGGATTGGTTGCTTCCCTCACTCGCCCTGACTGGGGCCAGGGATTGAGCCTGTAACTGAGGTACATGCCCTTGACTGGAATCGAACCTGGGACCCTCAGTCCAGGGCCCACACTCTATTCACTGAGCCAAACTGGCGAGGGCCCAACATTTTAAAAGAATTTTTAGTTGAATTGAGAGAGAGAGAAACAAATCGTTTTGACTTATTATTCCACTTATTCACTGGTTGCTTCTTGTACGTGCCCTGATTGTAGATCGAACCGACCTTGGCATATCAGAACGAGGCTCTAACAAACTGAGCTATCCGGTCAGGGCCCAACCAATATTTACTGAGTGTCCTTTTTGTTCAGGTACATCTCTAGGTACTGTGGACAGACCAGAGAATAAGGCAGACAAACTGCCTTTTGTAACTTACTGGGTCAGACAACAAATAATAACAAATAAACATATAACAAAAAGTCAGATAATGTTTGGGGCTATGAAGAAAAATAGAGCATAGGAGGAGTATAGAGAATTGGGAGTCATAATCATTCTAAGAATGTATAAGTTTTCTACTGCTGCCTTAAGAAATTACTACAAATTTAGCAGACCCAAATAACATATATTGATTTTATCACAGCTCTGTAGGTTAGAAGTCCTATATTCTTAAAATCAAGGCATCACAGGCTCTAGGGGAGAATCCTTTTCCTTGACTTTTCCAGATTCCAGAGGCTTCTTATTTTTCCTTGGCTTATAGTTCTTTCCCTTTATCCATCTTCAAAGAGAGCAACATCACATCTCTCTGACCCTTCATTTGTTGTCACATCTCTTTCTGAACACAGCCAGGAAAGTTTTCCTGTTTTAAGAGCTCATGTGACTAGATTGAGCCCACCCAGATAATCCGGAACAATCTCTTCACTGTAAAGTCAGTTAATGAGCAAACCTAATTCCATTTGCCTAATTCCACAGACCCTACCATAATTTGAGCACTTTCTTACTTCTGGCAGAATAAGATGATCCAGGCCCATTTTGTATTTTCCTGGCTTCAGCCCAAGACTCTATCAGCCATTTCTTCAAGGATTCCTGGTTCCTTTTAGTGGAAAATTGGTCAGTGGCTAGGTATGCTCATTGGTTTTGAGATCTGTATATGTTTTTAGAGTCTGAAGGTGTGAATAAAAAAAAAGGGGGGGATGAAGAATGAGTCTAAGGTTTCTAACCTGAGCTAATGGGAGGGTGGAGTTACCAAAAACTGAGATGGGAAGACTGAGGTGGAGTAAGTTTGGAGGGAGAACCTGGAATTCAGTTTGGCCATGAGAAGCTGAGCTGCCTATTAGACATTCTGGTGGAGATGACAGGTAGGCAGTTAGATGTCTGGGTCTCTAGTTCTGGAGAAAATCCGGGGCTGGGGATAAAACCTGGGAGTTGTCAGTGTATAGATGGTATTTAAATTCATGAGAAGGGATAAGTCCTCAAGGAATGAATGTAAACAGTGAAGGGAAGTAGCCAAGGGCTGCCTCCTGGAGCACACCAGCGTAAGAGGTCAGGGAGAAGAGGAACAAGGAACAGAGGAGACTCAGAAGGAGTACCCTGAGGTAGACGGAAAAGCAGATGAAGGCGTGTTCCGAAAGGCAAGCAGAAAAGAAAAATGTATCAAGGAGGAGAGAGGTGATCAACAGGTCAAACGCTGCTGCTACGTCCAGTAAGGTGAGGGCTGAGAATTGACCATTACTGGGAGGCGGAGGCAGTTGTCCTGATTGGAGTGAGTTTAAGAGAGAACAGGGAATGTGGAATTAAACAGCTGTTATTGTTAAGGGGCCTACTGCAAATGGGAGCTGAGGAATGGGGTAGTAACTTCTGGAGAACTGAGGTCACAAGAAGGTTTTTCTTTTTAAATAAAATGGAAGAGACACTAGCCTGTTTGTATGCTGATGGAAGTGATGTATTGAGTAGGGAGTGGAAAAATTGATAAATGGCAGCAGGTGAGATGGGTAGAATCTGGTTCTTTGACATTCCAGCTTCTAGATGCTACCCACATTCTACCCATTTTTAAAACCAACAACAGGTAAGTCTTCTTCACATCTCTCTGACACTTCGCATCTCTTTGCACTTGGAAGAAATATTCTAATTGTAAGGACCCATTTGATTAGATTGGACCCACCCAGATAATCTCCCCATCTCTAGGTTCTTAACCTTGATCACATATGCAAAATCCTTTTTGTCATGTAAAGTAACATATTCACAGGTTCTGAAGATTAGAACTTGGTCATCTCTCTAGGGTAGCGGTTCTCAACCTGTGGGTCGAGACCCCTTTGGGGGTCGAACGACCCTTTCACAGGGGTCGCCTAAGACCATCGGAAAACACATATATAATTACATATTGTTTTTGTGATTAATCACTATGCTTTAATTATGTTCAATTTGTAACAATGAAAATACCTCCTGCATATCAGATATTTACATTACGATTCATAACAGTAGCAAAATTATAGTTATGAAGTAGCAACGAAAATAATTTTATGGTTGGGGGTCACCACAACATGAGGAACTGTATTAAAGGGTCTCGGCATTAGGAAGGTTGAGAACCACTGCCTAGGGTCATTATTCTACCAAGCACAACATCCTAGAGGTACCAAATACTTGAAAAAGATGTTTGTTTGCGTGTTTTTTTTAAAGCTGCTTTTGATTCCTTTAACCTCATTAGCTCACTTTATAATTACGTAGACTGAGGTAAACTTCTTGTGAGTCCTCATGAATTCTAGCTGATGGGGCTTAATTCTGTGTGCACCTGTATGTGGGCCTCACGCATCTGTCATTTAACTGATGTTAATTAGCTCGGCATTCACTCAGCTATCAGTGGAAGAGAAGACAGTCCCAGATTTAAATCCCACTCTTCTCCTGCAAATAATAGTTTCCAGGTTTCCTTGCATCTGGCTTGTCATTAAATCACATAGTAGAGGCAGGGTGAGACATTAGACAGCAAGAAGAAGGAAGCAGCCATTTCTCCTCCTGCCTCCTGGGGTGGTTTCCCAAATTTCTATAGTCCCAGCAGCTTTGGCTGGAGGCCTGGCTTCTGAATTCTAGTCCGACCACCCCCTCTCTAGGGAGGCTTGTGGCTTCCTGCTCTTGCTAATCTCTGGGGTGGCTTCTTAGTTTTCCTTCACTGTATAATGCATTCTCAATATTAAATTTCCTATATTTGAAATATCCACAGTAGGTTCTATTTTCCAGACTCAACTTTCATCAATAGAATGGAAACTAAAACTGCTAATTTCAATCTTGCCTTCATACGTATAATCTTCCTTACCAATCGGAAAGGGACTCTCTTACTTCAAACATAGAAAGTTGGACAGAAAATCCATTCCCTTTGCTTAGAGGTATATTTAAGAAATTTAGCACCCTCAAGGCATTTCAGACATGAAATATGTGGCTTGATGTTTACTTACTGAGACTGATGTCACAGGGTGAGTTCTACTGGTAGCTGAGAAAGGAATTTCAGGAAGCTACTCTGTGAACTGCGGGGGATTAGATTTCTGAATGATGAGCCGGGAGGTGTTGGTGTCGCAGAGGACAGGGCCATGCCCCAGTGCCATGGCAATCATGGACGCTCAATCATGGCTTTGAGGCACAAAGGACAGGGTAAGGAGAATTCCATATGTCTACGAGTGGTTTCCTCCATGGAAGGAGACGGAAAACTAGGGCAAGAATGCAATTTGGGCTGCTGGGTGGCTGGCTACCACTAATTTCTTTAAAAAAAACACACACACAAAAAACCAATAACACAGACACACAGTGGAAAATGAATAAAGGGAAGCCTGCTCTCTCCTGAATAGTGAGGCTATTAACAAGAAAAGAGGATTAAAAATAATTTGCATACATGATTATTAGGACGGAAAAGGATGACTCTAACTACAGTTCTTGACACAACTTTGTGGCTTTCTGTGACTGAGATAATGTACATAAAGCAGAGACCCCACCATCTGACTAATTAACTCGGCAGCAGGGAGGGAATGGATGAAAGGATAATTAATAGGTCAGAGACCCAATGCTGTGTTATGATTATTTGAATAATATTATGATAATTTGAATAATGCACAAGAGTTTGTGAAAATTGGTTGCTGGCTAGGACTCCAGCTGACAAAACATTTGAATCATGCTCATTTCATACCTCCTGGGTAGCTTTCCTTTCTTCCTGAAAGTACTGAGCATATGTTTGAATATAGGGGGTATAGTTGTGGGGCAGAAAGAAATGGGTGGGAAATGACTGTAAAAAAAAAAAGTACAGTTTTAAGTGTCCGTGGCAGAATTATACAGTTGTAAGTGTCCACAGCAGAATTCTTCCATTTCTGTTCACATTGATGTGACCTTAGCTGGCAAGCCCAGTTGCAGGCAGAGATAACAGACACTTTAGCTTTGAGTTTGCAGCGATGGCTCAGGGAAATGAAAAACTTACTGCCTCCCTCCTGATTTAAAAAAAGAATTACTTAATTAGATCAGGTCTATGGTTGATGGATTTCCATCTTTATTTAGAAAAACAAAAATAATCAGTTTTATTTTAAACAAGTAGGGGTTTGAAACCAAGACATTTATTTAGAATTTTTTAAACACACTGAAAGTTGAGCAGGACCTACACAAAAATTTGTTTTGAAAGTCTTGTAGATTCTGAACTGATGTAGCAGTATTTATAATGTTCTTACACTTGACATTCGTGTGGCCCCATGTCATTTATCATTACAGTGGCTCCCCACCCCCCCTTTTAGTTTCTTTTACTGAGAAGATGGACTTCACTGTCAGCATCCAAGCTGCAATCTAGAACACGGCCTGAGGGTGTTTAGTACAACTAATAAAAAGGCCAACCCGTTTTCCGCTGCATGAGTTTATTTCCTGCTGGCGTTCTGTGTGTTTTATTACTCATACGAAAAGAGTAGCTTCCTTCCACCTTCTCATTAATCCAGGTGCTCATTTGAGGGCAATTTTGCCTTGATACGGGACATTTGGCAATGTCTGGAGATGGTTTTGATTGTCAGGACTTGGGGAAGCTATTGTATCTAGAGAGTAGAGACTAGGGATTCTGCTAAACATCCTGCAATGCACAAACGGCCCCCACAGCAAGGCATTATCCAACCCCAAATGCCAATAATGGTGAGGTGGATAGATTACATTAATCCAAGCGTGGTTATTGTGAATGCCAGAGTGGAAATGGTGCCGCCTTGTTTAAGATCCTCCTTAAAGTTACGTAAGCCTATGTTCTCCACTTCTAAGGTTATGTGTCTAAAGATAGGGAGACGGGGCACCCTATTGCCTATGACTCAATGACTAACTTTTTATGCTCTCATTTTAGATATACATGTTATATGGCTACAATTTGGTTATTAAAAATTAACATTAATGAATGAATAAGTGCAAGTAGTTCCCATTTCCAAGAAGTTGTATATGAACCTATGTCAAACATGAAACTAGGAGATAGAGTGTATATTCTGAAGGGCTGTTCCAATAAGCAGTGGCCTTGGGGGAACTCTAAGTGTATTGATAAACTTTTCCTGCACCCTGATGTGATAGAGCTGTGGGTATCAAGGAAGCTGAGCAAGACTTCAGTACAAAGCTGGGCTCTGTATCTCTGAAGGATACAATCTACATGCCCACCTCCTCAGGGTTGTGGTTTCATTTATTCTCACCAGCTATTTTGTGTGTGTGTTTATTTATTTATTTATTCTCACCAGCTATTTTAAAGAGATTTTATTAAAAGTTTAGTTGAGAGTGTGCCACATATTAACTATTTTGAATAGCAGGTGAATTAAAGGGACAGCTGTATTCCTGAAATAGAACCACAAACAAGGACTGAAGGTTCTTAGGGGATAGCATTGATAGCAATGCTTGTGTTTAAGAATGCTTGTCATAAAATCTGATTAAGAATTTGATTTGTATTTTGAAAGTAGTGATCAGGCTTTTCAACTAGTTTAGAATTTCAGTTTTCCAGCTTAAGTATTCTCTCCTTTATTTCACTTCCTAAACAAAACACTATTAATGTCTAAGTTGTCAAGCAGCCCACAAAAGCAGCTGTATCCAAATAGAAAATACAGAAATGGGGAAAAGTATCATTGTTATGTAGTTAATGACTTGATATAGGACAAGAAATTAAACACATTTTATAATTAAAATGTAATTCTGGAACTATAAACCTATGTAGTCATGTATTACTAAGCAACACTTGAGTTACAAATATATCTAGTTATATAGGTATCTTTGAGAAATAACAGGAATCAGTTAGATGCAGAAATTTCATCAGTTACATAGAGTGAGGATGTGGTGAGAAGATATATGTATCCCTGTGTTCATTGCAGCATTATTTACAATAGCCAAGACATGGAAGCAACCCAAGTATGCATCAATAGACGAGTGGATAAACATACCGTGTTCATGGATTGGTAGAATCAACATCATTAAAATGTCCATACTACCCAAAGCAATCTATAAATTCAACGCACTTCCCATTAAAATACCAACGGCATACTTCACAGATCTAGAACGAACTCTCCAAAAATTCATCTGGAATAAAAAAAGACCCCGAATAGCTGCAGCAATCCTGAGAAAGAACAAAGTAGGTGGGATCTCAATACCAGATATCAAGATGTATTACAAAGCCACTGTTCTCAAAACTGCCTGGTACTGGCACAAGAACAGACATATAGATCAATGGAATAGAATAGAGAACCCAGAAATCGGCCCGAACCAATATGCTCAATTAATATTTGACAAAGGAGGAAAGAACATTCAATGGAGCCAAGATAGTCTCTTCAATAAGTGGTGTTGGGAAAATTGGACAGATATATGCAAGAAAATGAAACTAGACCACCAACTTACACCATACACAAAAATAAACTCAAAATGGATAAAGGACTTAAATGTACGACAGGAAACCATAAAAATTCTAGAAGAATTCAAAGGCAACAAAATCTCAGACATATGCCGAAGCAATTTCTTCACTGATACAGCTCCTAGGGCACTTGAAACTAAAGAGAAAATGAACAAATGGGACTACATCAAAATAAAAAGCTTCTGCACAGCAAAAGAAACCATCAACAAAACAACGAGAAAACCCACTGCGTGGGAAAACATATTTGCCAACGTCATATCTGATAAGGGCCTAATCTCCAAAATTTATAGGGAACTCATACAACTTAACAAAAAGAAGATAAACAATCCAATCAAAAAATGGGCAAAGGATCTAAATAGACACCTTTCAAAAGAGGACATTCAGAAAGCCAAGAGACATATGAAAACATGCTCAAAGTCACTAATCATCCGAGAGATGCAAATCAAAACAACAATGAGGTACCATCTCACACCTGTCAGAATGGCTATCATCAACAAATCAACAAACGACAAGTGCTGGAGAGGATGTGGAGAAAAAGGAACACTCGTGCACTGCTGGTGGGAATGCAGACTGGTGCAGCCACTATGGAAGACAGTATGGAGTTTCCTCAAAAAACAAAACATGGAACTCCCATTTGACCCTGTGATCCCACTTCTAGGAATATATCCCAAGAAACCAGAAACACCAATCAGAAAGGATATATGCACCCATATGTTCATAGCAGCACAATTCACCATAGCTAAGATCTGGAAACAGCCTAAGTGCCCATCAGTAGATGAATGGATTAGAAAACTGTGGTACATCTACACGATGGAATACTATGCTGCTGTAAAAAAGAAGGAACTCTTACAATTTGCAACGGCATGGATGGAGCTGGAGAGCATTATGCTAAGTGAAATAAGCCAGTCAATGAAGGAAAAATACCACATGATCTCACTCATTCATGGATAATAAAGACCATTACAAACTTTTGAACAATAATAGATACAGAGGCAGAGCTGCCTCAAACTGATTGTCAAACTGCAGTGGGAAGGCCAGAGAGGGTTGGCAAGGGCGGGAAAAAAAAGAGAAAAAAAAAAGAAGATGTTATACAAATATGCAATGGAATATTACTCTAGCCATTAAAAAAGAATGAATTTCTACCATTTGCGACAGCATAGATGAACCTAGACAGTATTATGCTAACTGAAATAAGTCAGACAGAGAAAGATAAATAGCATATGATTTCATTTATATGTGGAATTTAAAGAACAAAATAAATGAACAAACAAAACAGAAACAGACTCATAAATACAGAGAACAAACTGAGGGTTGCCAGGTAGGAGGGGGTGAAGGTTTAAGAAGTACAACTACAGCATCGAGATTATAGTCAACTAGAGGACTGGTGCACGAAATTTGTGCACAGAGGGGTCCCCTCAGCCCTGCCTGTGCCCTCTCCAATCCAGGACCCCTCAGGGGATGTCCGATTGCCCCCCCTGCTGGCCTGGTCACACCCCAGTGCCCCCCCCTGCCAGCCTGGTCACCCACGCAGCCTGCTTGTTCAGTCCTTTGGTCGTTCCTCACTAACCCCCCTGCCAGCCTGGTTGTAGGCAGCCATCTTGTGAGGGCATGATGGTCAATTTGCATATTACTTCTTTATTATATAGGATAATATTGTAATAACTATGTATGGTGCCAATGAGTACTGGAATTATCAGAGGGATCACTTCGTAAATTATATAATTGTCTACCACTAGTCTATACACTTGAAACTGATATATAAAATAGTATTGAATGTCAACTGTGATTGAAAAAATAAAATTAAAAAAGAATGTGGAATAATACAATCACCCCTCCTTTCTTTAACTTATGAAGCCTTGTATTTTAAATGCATGTTCCTCACTTTTGAGTCCTTAACATAAAGAAAATTTAATAAAATCCTCCTGTAATAAAACAATAGAGACATCATTTTTTTAACTGTTGTTTTTTGCCATTGGCAGAGGGTTTAGACATAAATAATAAAAGTACACCCACTAACATTCATAAACACAGTAGGAGATGAAGTATGTGGTATTGTACTTTAAATTTTGATTAAATAATAAACCACATTTAAATAATAGGCATATATACACATTATGATGGTAAGATATGAAGAAACAGTTGTGATGCTTAGTTCAGGTAGATAAATTTGGTAGAATATCGGTACATAAAAACACAGTATATTTCAAAATTATGTTGGATTGAAAAACATGACTCCTTTATAACTTTGGGGATTATCAAAATATGCTACTAGACTGTTTAAAGGTATGATCTGGGATTGATGGCTCAAAACTGTAAATGATAAGAAAAGAAAGAATGAGTAACAGACATTAAAAGAAGGGCCACTAAAATACAGAGATCAGTTCTTCAGACATAGACACAACCATAAGTAAGCTGTGAAGTCTTTTCTTAATTCAACAAGTGTCTGATAGACATATGAGAAGTCATTACATGAGGGGCCCCTCTGTGATGTCCCTGAGTGCAAGACAGGAGAGGGATCCAGCAGAGCTAAGGCTGGGAGGATGTGCTTCAGCAGACAAGATGAGCTCTCAAGCCATCTTGTTCTAGCCCAGTGGTTCTCAGTCTTGGCTGCACATTAGAATCACCTGGGAATCTTTTTAAAATCCTGATTTCTGGGCCTCATCCTCCGGAAATTCTGTTTCTTTGTTACTAATGTTGTGTCCCCACCCCATAACAAAGAAACAGAAACATAATTTCCGGAGGATGAGGCCCAGAAATCAGGATTTTAAAAAGATTCCCAGGTGATTCTAATGTGCAGCCAAGGTTGAGAACCACTGTTCTAGCCAGTTCTTCATAGCTCTGAGTAGGGCGACTCCTTTGACTTGTTAACATTAATTAACATCAGCTGACAGTAAAGCAGTGTGGCCCACAGCTTACCCTATGACCCACTATTCTAAAAGCATATCAGCCAGAAGTGTGGTTCCTACCTTCAATTACCATAACACCCAGAAGCCCCTGACTGGGTGGGATTTTTAGTAGGGACTGCAGCTCTCTCACCAGGCATTTTTCTTATTTACCAGCTGTGTGTGAATTTGTGATTTGCAGTAGAACTTTCTTTCCAGCCTTTTCTTCATTTGCTCATCTCCTAGTCTGTATGTTACTCACTCAACGCCACTGAGGATTCTGGTGCCCAATTCATAAAGTTTATCTCTAGTTCCACCCTGAGATGATGTACAACTCAACCCCATGCACTCACTGCTCTAATATCCACCGGAAATGCCTACGACAAGCACCTGGGACTCTGGTTCAGAGCTGCATACAGGAAGTCAACCACAAAAGGAAACTTGGGAAGGAAATGCCTCAGCTTTCTTACCATAGAGGGACTGTGGGTAACTGTGAGAGGTACCCAGTAGCATTCAGACCCAGTTGTTCACAGTAGTAATGATAACCTATAAGCAAAAGGGCCTTTTAAAGTAAGAGGCAAAAAAAAGGCATTTATTCGAGATCAGTAAGAATGCACTGATTCAGGCAGAAGCCCAGATAGTGTTTGGATAAGACAAAGGCAATGGGTGTTTATGAAAAGGGGAAGGGAAACAATTACATCAATAGAAGAAAGGCAGTTTTTATTGATTCAGATAACATAACATCATGATGCTAATTCTAAACAATGTTTTAAAATTTTAGGTCAGTAGTCGTCAGTCCAGGAGTAGTAATATCTGCTTTCCGGTTATCTTTGCAAATAGTTCTTCGGGACACAATGTTGCCCTAGGCCCAGTCCGAGGTTATTTTTCCTTGTTTTAACATTCCAAAGATTTGAAGCATGAGACATGCAAGGCAGTTCCTCTGGCATGGCAGCCCGGCTTCATTTTAAAGTAGCTCCATTTTTTTGGACAGTAACATGCACCTTAATATTGGCTTCCTTCCTTTTTCCCTGCCACTCTCACATTCTCCTATCACCGTTTTTTGAGTTTGCCTTCCAAATAAACTTCTTGCACTCAAGTCCTTGTCTCAAAATCTACTTCAAGGAGAACCCAATTTAAGAGAGTAATTCAAAGTCCAGGAGGGCAACTCCTAATGGTCTTGGCTCATATGAGAGTTCTTGTAGTCCAGTTACTTTTGTCTTTAAAGTCATGGACTAGCTTTTATTCCCTGGTGCATCTCCAAATGTGAAGTCTGAAACTTCAGAAATCCATTCCTTGAACACATCTATGGAACCACTTCTCCCCCATTTAACTACCGCAAACCTACTCTTTGAATTTATCAACACCTGCAGCTTCGAGTCTCCCCTGATTTGAAGTTACTTTCCCCCATGTCTGTATTCTCTGTTGGTCAGTTAATTATACTCACCTGCATCCTTATATATTCTCTTAATCCATGATCACCTTCTACTCTGACCTTGAAAATCCTCAAACATAGATGAGTTGAACCATCTTATTTAGATTCAGCTTTCCACCTCCAATCTTACCCATGTGCTCAATACATTCCAGCTACATAAACCTTCCCATTATTCACTGAAAAAGCTGTGTTCTGTAAGCCACTGTATTCATGTTTCCGGTGTGTTGTTCTGGCCTTTGGAATTCCTGTCTTCCCTGCTTAAAAGAGTGCTGCTTTCCCTGACACTCTCAGGCAGAATTAATTGCTGTCTGTTGTGGTTTTCATATCATTTTACATATACCCATTAGAAAAATCATCACATGGAATTGTAATTATTTATATGTCTGCCTTCTCACCCAGAGTATGGACTTGAGGACTAGGGTAGTCTTTCATCATCAATATCCTGAGTTCCCAAGGTTAGATTGGCAAGAAGATAGCATGTGATGAATGAATAAAAGTTTTTCACTTAAGTTACAGCCCTTTCCCCCCAATACTCCTTCTGATTTTCACAGAAAACAAATTTGTTGCCTGTTATTTCTGTGGGACCTAGTTCTTGTAAAGTCCTTTATAATAGCTTATCTTAACCAGTTGGTATGTGTCATCCCCAATTCTGACATGATCTGCCTGCTGGTTTCTTCTGTTCACATGTCTTCCCCTTCAGCTAGGTGTTTTCAATGACCAACTCAGGCCAGACTGACAGCAATCAGACTGGTTTCTGCCACCACCAAACCCATAAAACAGCTTTGGGCCTAATTTGATTTGCTGTCTCCCAGGTACAGTCCTACCTCCAGACTTCTGCTTAGGTAAACAGATGTCCTTATGGTTTAAGTCTCTGTTAGTTTGGCTTTTAATTAATTGCAGCTAAAAGAAATCCTAGACCAAGAACATATCAAATAAGGGCACATTTAGAGAGACAGACAGAAAGGAGGGGTAGATGAAGGAAATACTGGAGTGAGGAGAAATGAAGAGTGAGGAAGAATTAGCCTATAGAGGCATTATGTCATTGATAATCTTAAACAGAGCATTAAATAAGAAAAAGGCATTGTTTACTGTTAGTTTGGTTTTTAATTAATTGCAGCTAAAAGAAATCCTATACCAAGAACATATCAAATAAGGGCACATTTAGAAAGGCAGACAGAAAGGAGGGGTAGAGGAAGGAAGTACTGGAGTGAGGAGAAATGAAGAGTGAGGAAGAAGTAGCCTATAGAGGCATTATGTCATTGATAAGTCTTAAACAGAGCATTAAATAAGAAAAAGGCATTGTTTGGTAAAAAGAGAAACCAGCATTCTTGAGTGGGATGGTCAATGAATGACTTGAGATAGGAGAGAGTAGGGAAACTAATTTTTCCATAGACAAGAGCAAGCTACTTAAAAACAAACATTTGAGACACAAATGCACGTGAGTTAGCAGAACTCATTATTTCTGACTTATGGAGGACACTATCTATATGAGTAGCAGAATATTATTTCTGA